TGTGAATAAAAGAAGCTTTACTTTCAAGCTAAAATTTTGTGTCTTTCAAGTAGCCAAGACTTAATTCTGTATGAAGGTGATTCGAATTTTTAACGCGCAACCAGTAAAAATACCCCATTTTAAGAGCCTGCTGACGCGTAAACAAGCACGGTGACCCCATGTTTTTATTGCATTTTTTTAATGTTCTTATCATGAATGTTAATTATGCCGAGTTTCAAAAAAAGTTTTCATAGTAGAACACATTTCAAGGGAATCACTTTAAGGTTTCTAATTTCAGTTTTGCAGAAAGGAAGGAAGGAGCGAGAGAGCACAATGCAGTAATTTTGAAAATATGGGAAACGAGAGTTAGAAGGCAAAAGTTTTATTAAATGAATTCGTTAGTTGATTTGTCAGTTATTTTAATTATAGTTGCAAGCCGTAGACTCCGGAGCGAAGTTAGGGGAAGCGAGAGAAAAATAAGGAACGTTTGACATCCTATAACTTCCTCCTCCACCCCTGTACTCCCATTTTACGATTTTCCGGAAGAAGTAAACAAAAACCTAGATCATTAGGGTACCAACAATGAAAGGTTAATTTTGTAGAATAGTAATCGTCATATGACAGAAACTCAAGAGAGTTTTAAAAAGCTTGAAATTTACTGTTTTGAGCTGTTTTCTAATCCTGATCTTCTCAAAGATCCAGCTTAAATTTCCTCTTGTTGTTGGCATGGTGTAGTCCATGCATGGTGAGAGTCCACAGGTATCTTTGTAGTCTGCCGAGGTCCTGAGTCATGTCTCATTCCTTTATTGTTTTATTCGTCTAGTCTTCGTCACAGAGTCTCCTCGGGATCAGAACCTCTCCGTTGGCAGGTCCCAAGTGATAAGATGCTCAGCTGAAGGCTATCCCAAGCCAACTTTTAAGTGGTACAAACAGCGCCGGCTGGTCAAATTCTCTGACCCTCGTTTCACTCTTCTGTCTAATGGCTCCCTGCTGATCAATCCAGTACACGAGTCGGACACTGCGGAATATATTTGTCGCATCACACAGCTAGGAACTGAAGAAGGCACTAATCTACGAGAAGAATCAAAAGACATCCAGGTTACAGTGTACGGTACGTTTGTATTATTTTTGTTTAATTATACTTGTAAACTTGTTGAATCATACTTGTAAGCTTGTATAACTTGTATTATTTTTGTTGAATAGTGAAGCGCGCGAGTGACGTCATAACTCAGACAAACTCAGACAAACAAAACGGAATGGTGGAAGATTTGACGCTTTTTTAAGGGCGTAAGCAAGTGTTCCCAAAACAAATTTTAAAACGAAAATTTGGCGTTCATTTTCCTCCTATTTCTCTCGGAACACGCTTATGTTGTCTGACTCTCGCGGGGTTCCGTTAATTTGCATTCTATTTTTAGACTTCGCGCGCTTCGTTATTATACTTGTAAGCCAACTGTCCCCTGGGGGTGGGGGCTATTGTCACGCGCAGCAATGTTGCAATGACGTACTTAGCTGGACCCCCGTGGGGATTAATCGTGGAGGCGCGGTGGCGGAATGGTTAGGGCGTTGGACCTTGGAGAGAGCGGTCTTGGTTCGTACTGGCCGGGGTCATTTCGTCATTAGGGAGGGGGATAGAAATACTCCTACTCCTACGAAAACTGGGATAATCTTCGGTGGTGTGCACCTCTTGGTCCGGATCAGACTCTCTTTTTTACGTGGGCTTAATCGTTGCAACCATCATATATTAGTGTTATATCCAAATCCAAGAGAATACCCTATCCCAGATCCGTTCGCTATATATTTCAGAGCTATTAAAAATCTAATTCTATCTGTTAGTCTTGTTTTATCAAATCAAGCTATTTTTTTTTGGTTTGATAGTTTTGGATCTTTCTCGGCAAGTCGTCTTTCCAAGTCATCTTTCCAAGTGTTCGTAGAGATTCCAAGCACTCGAGAATTCTCCAGAAGTTCTTAGTCGCTTAGCAACATATGCGGGGTTGGTCCAGTTTAGGAGACCGATCGAAATTCTCCATCGACTGATAGATACAGCGGTATTTCTAAATCCATTTACACACGCTTTCAAAATGGTGCGGCTTATTCTGTAACAGTACTTCATAAATTTAACATTAATCTCATTGATCCTAGGTCCGCCAAGAATAAACCTCGAAGAGTCCTCGTCCTCAAATCTCTATTCTTACATTGATAATCCTACACCTGTCACAATAATATGCCATTGGTGGGGTTTTCCAGTTCCTGAGCTCAGCATTAAGAAGAACAACAAAGCATTACCAAGTGAAGATGTGAAGATCGACGGCCCAGAGCTTGAGGCCACTATAAAGATTGACAGCGAAGACGACTTTGGAAACTATACGTGTCACGCTTCTAATAGGTTTGGGGACGCTACTCATGACTTAAGCGTCACGAAAGCAGGTAAGTGGTATTGTCCAGTGGGACGGGAGGGCTGGGGTATTTTGTCGTTTGAGAGTCACTTATCTCGGCTTGCTAGACTGTTAACTTGCTGTTGTTTCGGTATTTTAGTATTACATGACATTATTGTAAGTCCACTGCATTTAGTACCGCATTGAAGAATGTTACAGGCTCACATGTTGAAAGTGGATTACGGATATGAGTATTTGCCAGTTGAAATTCAAAAATGACGTCGCCAAAATGTTATTGGTTGTCATATTCAACACTTCTTGTTCAGTTTGAATACTTGGAAACATTATTTTAAACTTCCCGTTGTCTTTTTTGGAGAGGCGTCTTTCTCAAAGGGAAGTTATTTGCAGTAAATGATTGACGTACAGCCGAGGCCAGGGTGGGTTTAAAGATGATTTCCAGTCCGTACTGCGCATTCTTGAGAGTTTGTTTGCGTTTTTTGTTTTGTTTCATGTAAGACATCATAAAATGTAGACATTTCGCAACTACTTACATGAAGGAAATTCAAAGTTTCAAAACAACCGCCATTATGGATGCGAAGCGGTAGAAGCCTCATGCTTTGTTCTTTCTTATATCACTTGATGAAACAACTTCGCAGCTGTAAAAATCAATGAAGCTGTTGGAGAAAGAATTTGAAAGGCCTAAAAGATAAGGTATGTGGTTCATAACGAATAACATCGATTCGCATTCCATCGAGTGAGTCGCTATAATGTTTATAAACATTAGGGTGCTGAGACTGCGCAGTACGGACTGGAAATCATTTTTAAGGGTCGTTTACGTGAGGTGTCGTATTGGAGAGGTGCTTATTAATCAAGAAGGTGTTTGCTGTAATAATGTGATGGTCAGAAAATGAACAACCTTTTCATTATTGTCTCGCTAGTTCTTTTGATTCCTTTGTCTTGAACGTCATTTCAGGTAAGCCCAGTCCTCCTATTAATATCACGTTCGCCACCACCTGTGATCATCTGACAGTGGCCTGGAACAAACCGGAATCAGATGGTGGTCTACCGCTGACCCATTACAAGATAGAGTTAAGGGACGCGATAGAATTGCTTGACGAAGTTTTTGTTGGTGTTCAAACGAAGAGATTTACCTTCACAAGTAGAGAAGGCGTGAATCCTCGGACACAGTACACGGTCGCTGTACAGGCCTTCAACAAACTTAACGACGGGACAAAGGGAGAGCGCGTTGTTATGTCTGCTTACTGTGAGTATTTTGCAAGTAATTAGTTTCATAGTTTGTTTCTATATAAACCCAGTGACGCTATCAAGAAAATGGTGATTAGGTCAATAGCCAGGCGCGCGGCAGATAGCGTAGCCGGTAAAAAGCGCGGGAAATTATGAAACTTGTGAAAACCGCGAGAAAGCAGGCCACCGGTGAAAAAAATAGCGGGAAATCACGTAACCAGTGAAAAGCGCGAGAAAACAAGTGAAAGCGCGGGAAAGCTTGTATGCAGCCGGCAAAAATCCTGAAAGAGCACTTTTAAGTGCTCTCTCAGGATTTCAGGATTTCCTCTCCAGATTTCCCCATGCTTTTAACCTCTTTTGAAAGGTTAAAAGCGTGGGGAAATCTGGAGCAATTGCGCGTTGATTTTTAAAACAATAAACCGATTAGAGGGGCCATAAACCAATACAGACGATGCTAAGCGCATGTAAAGATAGACGACCTTGATTATTGACTGCATGATCTGTTTTCTAACCGGTAAAGTGATGTGGTATGACTATCTATAAACAATCAACAGCTCGGGTAGGCTCTTACGCAGACGCTCTTTGAGCTTGTCGCGCAATCTTCTTCTCCCAAGAACTGATTGAGCAACGTGAATAGCCCTATGTTTCAGCAGACGTTCGTGGAGGTGGACGATTGCGTGAAGAACCCAAAGAGCGTCTGCGTAGGGAGCTACAGCTCGGGAAGTGAGGCAGCAAAGCCATCAAAAATAAAGCCTCATGTCTAACAACGAATCGAAAAAGTACTACTCACAATAATTACGTGCGGAATTTTGTCCCGACAACAGGCCCTCCTAGTGGACCATTCTACATAACTAACACAGTCACGCAGTTGAACGCGACAAGTTTCACGCTAAAATGGACTCGCCCACCCCAGGATGGTGGCGATCCTGAGCTCAAGTACGATATCGAATACAGCAAAGCCAATTCGGAAGGGAAGTTTGTTCACTGGAATTCTAAGAAGAGTATCACAGGACAAGAGTACAACGTGACGGGACTGGAGAGGAGGTCTAGGTACCAGTTCAGAGTGTTCGTGTTCAACATTGTCGGAAGGAAAAGAGAACCCGCGAGCAAGGAGTTTAACGTGATCAGCGGTGATGGTGAAGGGCCTGGACCGACGCGTGGACCAGGTAATGGTTGTAGTTATTGCTTTGTTTCGTCACTGTTTCCACTCCCTAGGAATGGGAAAATCAAGGGGGGTAAAAGTCGTTAGGGGGTAGGGGACATGCGGGAATTCTTGCTTCCCGTGTAGCTTCGGCCTTAAATGTCCCATTGGATTTGGATCTTTTGCACCTTTTTCCAATTTTGCCTTTTCAGTTTTTCACTTTGCCTGCTTTCACAGTTGGTGCCCTAGCACTGGTGCCTAGCCACCAGCGCAAAATAGTATTGCGCTCAGACACTGGTACTCCAAGCGCCCGCGTGCAAGGTCGGTACCTTGTACCCGGGCACGGGCACTGTGCCCGAATTCTGGTGTGAGTACTTGGAAAAAAAAATTGTATTGATATTAGTGCCCAGCGAAAACCATAATCGGGCACCAAGTGTGAATATAACCTTTCTGTTCCCTCTACAACCTGTTGCTGTTTCGTTCTTAGTTTCAAGTATTTCTGATCTTTTTTGAGTCCACAATAGCGAGAATTTTGGGGTGAACGACGATTGTAGCTACATTTTGTATGCCTAATTTTAGCTTTCGACTAGAAAAGGTTTCGTCAAATACACGTCGTCTCCGTTTTATTTTCAATGGTGTAGGTGGAATCACTCAACCCGACCTGGTTTACGATATGTCCATCAACTGCACGTCATTTTACATGCAAGTGAACTTTGCCCTCAAATCGTCTTATCTGAATGTGGAGACTTTCCACTTCGACAACAAATCGTGCGGCTCCTACGCTGCCAACTCTACTCATGTCTCCTTAAGAACACCGCTGGATGCTTGCGGGACCACAAGCAGGCAGACTGAAGACTCCCTAACGTATTTCAATAAAGTTGTGGCTGAGACAAAAGACAAGGACAAGGGATACGTCGTCGAATTCCCATTCTCCTGTACTTACAACAGGCGCGATACTATTGGAACTCCCAGTTTTCAACCCAGGAAAAAGGTCACCGTTTTTGAAGGTAAAATGACTTTTTTCGGCTTGTTGTTGCAGTAAGATAAGATAAGATAAGAACTTTATTAACGTGTCGAGGTCGCTAGCATACAATGCATACAGTATTACTAGTGAGTAATCTTTTCTCTTCCGTAGAAGATTCTTTACTTTGCTTTCTATTCAGTGTCACAGTAAGGCGGGCTGAGTTTGGGGCTGAGCAGAAGTTAGGAGAAATTTTGTTTGTAGATCAAATTCTCCCAACGGGTACTTATTGTGATATATATTAACCAGCAATAGGATTTGTAGTATTATCAAGGTAAGGTGTTAGTATAGTGTGATCATCTGGGTGAGGGTAGTTCTGAAAAGAACTGTTGTTGGTGACTGAGGTTTTGACAGCCTGAGCGGAAGTCATCTTCAGAGTCAAGTGAATAGTGTTTGTCAGTCGATGGCGTTTTAAGTCTGGTCTGTCGAATGTGATTGGTCAGTTTAGCCATGATGGTATTGGCTGTAAGAAAGAGTTACTAAACATCGAGTGTCAATTAAACTCGAGTTGTTAAAAACTTTTTTTCGGCCATATTGCTCGAAGAATCGCACGCCTTTCCCGAGACTCGCCTCTATCGATCTTCAGTGGGCGCTTGCTAAGCCAATCAGATCGCAGGTTTCCTAATAATAATACTAATAATCTGATTAGTCATGCTGGTGTAGATTCCTCTCATCACCCCTTCCCCCTAAAACTCCCCCTCACTACTCCTCACTCGCTCGTCAGCTAAGGTAGTGGCCACACTTTCTTTTTTCAGAGGGCTACGGGAACTTCTCATTCGAGATGGGTCTATACCGGAGCTCCGAGTATGCGTCCCCGTACGATGTTTCAGAATATCCGGTCACCATCAACCCGTTTGGCCAGTTATACTGTCAGGCTAAACTGGATTCCTCGGACCCAGACCTCGTCCTCCGGACCGACACGTGTGTGGCCACACCCTCTATGGATCCGTCACACAGCGTCCAGTATACATTTATTGAAGACGGGTAAGTGTTGTATAACAAAGGTTTTATGACTTCTATCTGATGTGCTTGGTGACGTTAAGTTGAGACCTTATGGAAAAACTATCATAAAAGTGACCTCCACTCCCAAACTCGTTTCCATGTACATCCGTTTTCTTCGTTAGATACGGGGGCAAAAATAAGCTCCAGTCTTCGAAGTCTGGCGCGTGATGACTTATATATCGATAGTGGCGCTCGATTTAAGTTTCCGCACCTGAACCTACCAGGATCATTAACATCACTGCTCCCCACTGGATTCACTGGATGAGGTTCTGGTCATTGCCATAACCCGGAACACAACACAATGTCCACAGCCAGGGCGCGAAACCCGGACCACTTCATCCGGCAGCAAATTAAAAGCGACAACCATGTAGGCTGCCAAGTCATCCATGTGTGTAACATTTATGTTTACAATATAGCCTCTCCCCCTCCCCCCTAAAAAAAATACGCGCTCTGATTGGTTAAAAATCATGTTTCTTTTAAACAATTAGATCATGAGCTCGAGATTTCTATCGCGTGATAGTTGACGAGGGAGCAGCCCGAGTCAATCGAAACTGTTTAGGCGCGAGGTAATCGGTATCCAGTGTTTTTATTGGCCAAACTTGGTCAAACGTGTGGTAAATATTCTTGTGCTTGTGTTATGCCTGAAGAAAAAGGAAAAATTTTGATCCTTGTGCTTGGGGTTGTGCTTGTGCTTGCACTTGTGCGTCAAGGCCGTTTTCACGGTGAAATAAGAATTATTGTGTTTGAGCTTGTGCTTACGTCGCTAGTGAAAACCACGCTTAACAAGTAACATGTTTATCTATTATTACGGTGAAATTTCTTTTTCTTCACTAGTTGTCCCGTTGATAACGGAACTCGCTACACTCACACGATGACTGATACGCAACGGTTTCAGTTAATACCATTTCGCTGGATCAAAAATTATACGCTGGTTTACCTTCATTGCAACGTCATCGTCTGTCATAAAGACCAACCCTCGCGGTGCAGTAAGGGATGCCAGCCCTCGAACCCACGACGCACGAGGAGTACTGGGAATGAAGAGGAGCATCGTGTCACTCTTGGTCCTGTCATGCTTCGGGAAACGCAGCGATCTGAGTCTCACATTGTGTACAAAGGTAACTCAGATTCACTTTGCCTCTTAAGAGGCTGTGAAAATGTTTAAAACGGTTTCAACTTTGCCACACTTGAACCTAGTTATAAGGCTTAGCTTAGCTTTAACTCAGTTGTAGCGATTCACCGACCATTATGCAGATCGTCACTGGTTGGACTTCAGCTGAGATCGGTGAAATGAGGAATTTGTTTTCGACTCCAACTTTTCTCCAGACTTTAAAAAAAAACCTTTTTATCTAATTTCCAACCATCATCTGAACCAATTTTTCAATTCCCAAACGTTAATAAGCTGAGAACGACGAATTTACGATACGGTTGATATGACAAACGCTACCCGATCGTTGACCAATTCGACTTGGGTAGACGTGCATGAAAACCAGATTGGCCATTCTAAATATTGTAATTGGTTATTTAATTTTAATTTTTTTAGTTTGACCGAAAAGGGTTTAAAGTTTTCGATAGGACACATATCGCCATTGAAAAATGTATGGTCCCAGTAGTTCTCTACTTAGGGGGAGCCGAGATGGCGCAGTGCATCCCCACCTATGGATCGAGTTCGATTCAGGCCTGATGCCATATGTGGGCTGAGTTTGTTGTTGGTTTTTCTCTGTGTACTCCGGGTTTTTCCTCTCTCCTTAAAACACCAACACCTTCAAATTTCAATTCGACCAGGTTAGAGGATTCGCTTTATAAACTGACGAGCTTCCTTTCTTAAATTTTGTTTATTTATCTATTTATTTATTTATTTATTTATTTGTTTGTTTGTCTATTTATTCATTTCCTGCAGATCCCCATTTGGGTACGCCTGTTGCATCCAGTCTTCCTCTGTGGATAGTAATTCTCATTATTTTTGCCACTGCAGTCGTACTTGGTTTAATGCTCTTTGCCGGCGTTCATCTCTTTTACTTTATAGCTTCGAAATCGCAAGATGGCGGCTCGAATGAAGTTCAGAGACACTCAGAGGAAGTGGAATTATTTCGTTCCGAAAATGTTTAGAATTATAACTTAGCAAGAGAAATAAGGGGTATATCATTAATCAAAGGCTATCATTTTATAAAGACATAGTAGACTGCTATCATTCGTAAATATGTGAGATATTAGGGGGATTCAGAGAGCGACAACGGTGTGAGTAGTTAAATTAATAATCTTAAAGCAATAGCTCTGCAATAATGCGCAAATTCTGCCTCTTTTTTGAGAACGCAAACCACGATCAACCTCAAATGTTGCTGCTTGTCGAGCTTGAACACAGCTTTACATATTTAGCTACATGTTTAAGTAGCTCAGGCAATGCAAAGAGAAACAAAAGAATTAATATTCAAGCAGATAATTGCGCGGTAACTTTAATTTTCAAAAGATGTTTTCTTATTTACTTCCTATTTAAACTAGAAGGAAGCACTTTCCAAGCTTTCCGGTAGAGATCACTGCTATTTCTTTTTTTGTGGACTTCAATGTTTTCCTTTGTAGATACCTTCATAGTGACAGGAGATCTTCACACGGCTGAGACAATCTTGTATTTGTTGAATTTCATCCTTGTACAAAACTCACCTTTGGCTTGAAAATGGAGGATTAAAAAACCGAGACTTTTCAGTGTACGGCTGTTTTGGCGGGAAAAGCGCGCGTGTAGCGTTTACGTTTCGCCGCGGTGCAGATACAGTTATTTATATATCCGCATAATAGTCCGTTCTTACAGTCTACATGCAGTGAAAATGAAATGTTGTCTGTTTCATGAATACCCGGGAATGCTTGTGTTCGAGACAGTTCGGCGACTTACACATTCTTTAGCTATCAGGACTAAGGGTTTGAGCAGAAATGAAAATCGCACAAGCATCCACGCGCGACTCGTGACACAGGGGACTCCTCGAAGGAAATTGTTCTGTATCGATTTCCTTTCACTGAGCGGTTTCCATTAAAATGGGAGTTCTTTTAAAAGCAACATGGCCAGCCCATTTCGCTTGTGCTTTCTGTAAGAGGCTGTGGACACAGGATGCTGGTCCGTTACAGACCCTTTTTCCTGCAATGGTATTCGACGCCATTCACACTTTTTAGCTTGCAAACCGTATAATCTTCCACTAAAGCAGGTTTCATATTAACCTCGGAATTAAAAGTCGTCTTTTTTCTAATTAACCCTGGTCTAGACTGTTAATTTGTGTAAACACTTTTCTCTTAAAACACAATAAATAGTCTCTTGTTTTTCGTTTAAAAGAGTAAGCTTGTTTTGTGATGGCCTTATCGATTGTCACGCAATCGTTTATTTCCAAAATTGCGCGACTCTGTGCGAAAAGTTGATTCACGAAGGTCTGCGATCCCTTCGCGGAAACAAAAGATGAGACGAACAAACAAGACATTCATTAACCAGGACTATTTTATTATATTCCTTTGCTACAGAGAAATTACCATGTCTTGCATTGTATATATACATGTTATTTGACAAGTAAAATTTAAGCAGCGTTTAAAGCAACTTAAACATGAAAGTAATCTTTTATTACTAATGTGTAACACCAAAGAAACTGGTGTATGTAAAAAAAATCTGAAAACTAACCCTAAGTTCTTTTTTCGTCGTCACGCATTCTTCACTCTGTATAACAATGGTCTTGATCGCTTTCGGAGGGAGAATTTTCAAAACATGGCTTGTTCATCATTAAAGCCCTAGGACTGATTTTAAAATTAACCGACCCTGTTTACAGAACTCTATTTATTTATTTACTTAATTAGCCTTACTTAAACTAAGACAACATTACATCTTCAAGGTAGGTTACTATAATATGCTAAACAAAACTCCTCCACAATGTGGGGAGAGGTGACACGCTGAAAGGCTAACACAGCTTTATAAAACCTAACACTCTTACAAAACGTCTTCTGTATCCACAGAATACGAAAATTATCAATCATTTCATGTTTGTGTGTCACAGTATTCATGTTTATAGACATCAAATTTGCTCCCTACATCGAAAACAGGAAAATCACCACCCCAGTTTCACGCAACGAGAAAATAGGAAGTCTCCACCTTGAAAACATCCTTCGCATCCGTCAATTGGACGTCACGCAATGTGACAGTGCGTGACACGTATCAATTGTTTGCTACATGTACGTCACACTCTTGAGGAATGCCCTATTAAATACGGCAAGAATGTTACGTTTAAAAAGTTCCAAGTGCACCAACAATGGATAGAAAACCACGCGCTTAACGTTGACATGATTATATATTATTTCATCACACTAAGGAACACTAGCATTAAATTTACTCGAATTAAGTTGGACGAGTTCTGTTTAAGGAGCTAGTACCATTTCAAACGGGGGAACCTTGACCTATCATCAAATCAAACTCGGCCAGTTATGCAAATATTCACGCGTTAGATTGGCCAGAAAAGAAGTCAGTGGTTTCCTAGCAATTTCACTGACCAGAAACGACAACTGCGGACTCAGATTCGGTTCGAAAAAGCTACCTGACAGGCCCGAAAGCCTAATATTCAGCGTAATATTGGGTTCAAGTATGGTAGTTGTATAAATCAGTGCGCCCTCAATGTCTCTTATAATAAATGTATTACAAAATCTATTTCGTTCAAATGTCCTTGCGGAAAGTCTCTTACGATGAAGCGTTTGTTTGCATTCAGCGTTCATGATGTCAAAGCAGCAGAAGAAACCCTCCAGCAAAAAGGGTTAGAACGACACTGGACAGGAGGCGGGACTCTAAACTGCGTTCTGCAAAACAAGATGCACAAGTTAGAAACGCAAAAAAAATTAAAAAATACACTTGGACTACGAGCAGTCCCTCTTTCGAGTTCTCCGTCGAGCGTGGCTGAAAAAAAGCGTAAGAAGCGAAAGCCTCTGGATGCTTCGCTCTTTTTTCAGTTATTTTCAAGCCACGATATACGGACTAAGCAAAAAGGGGACTACATTACTTACAAAAATTTTCGGACGTTTCTAGTAAAATTTCGGACGTGTAATTATTGGACACTTAATCGCATTTCGGATAAATTTCGGAGACGGTAATTTACGGGTTCTCCTCCTAAAGGAAATAAGAGCTTAATAGCTACTTAAAAAATTTATTCTGTTTTGTAAATATTTCGGACGCTTAAATTTTCGCAAGGGTTTTATTTTCGAACACTTTTTTTGTCCAAAATTAAAATCGTCCGCATTTTTGGGCAAGTGACATACTGGAAAGCAACTGAAGAAGCGGAACACAATTTTTCATCCATCACTTCTTCCTTGCGAAATTTTCACCAAATCTGGCACTCGGGCATCTAAATATGCCGTAAATTATTAAGTCCTTTCGTTTAAATTACCTCCTGGGAAGTTTGTCTGGATGTATCTCTCTCCAGGCAAGCTTTCTCCTCCTTTGTTTGTGGCGATCACCTCAAACTTGTACTGGACTTTGTTGTCCAGATCGCTGAAGTCATACTCTAGTCCTTTCGTAGTGTATGTTATCCACGGGCCTTTCTTGTTATCTTTCTCCACGCGGTATCGCACGGTGTAAGTGACATCATCATCGCCTCCAGTCTCCTCAGGGCGCCGCCACTTCAGCGTGAAGCTGTCTTTGGTTAGNCCTGGTTGCATATGCCACTCAACCAGGGCCAGACTAACACATACAGAGATAAGCCTGATTTCTCAGGCTACTGTTTTCCATTGACAGCTACAGTAGTTTAAAACGAACACAATGTGAATGGCATAATTATGGTCTGTTATTCTAAAACTCACAGTATTCTTCAGTCTTTACGTTTACACGGACTGGGGGGGGGGGCCCAATCGGCCTTGGAAGTGGCTCTCAGTGAGATGCTGTATTCAGTGTTATGTTCTAGATCAGTGATAATGTACGATGTTTCATCTCCATCGATGTTCAGAGTAGTGCTTGAAAAAAGTCAAGACATATTTGTTGATGGGCATGCCTCCATCTTGTTTTGGCTGCTCCCATATGAGTTCGATACTCTTACAGCTGGCTGTGGCTTTAAGATTTTCAATCTTACTTGGTGCTTCTGAAAACAGCAAAACAAACAAACAAAAAAACATTAAAAGAGTTATTACTCCACCTAACACCTCCTTACATCAAATCATCCGCACATTGGCCCCATTTCATTGATCAAAAAGAGAATGTGCAAAGCTGAATTAAAACAGTTTTAAAAACGAATTCAGTTCAGTTCACACAGTGATTGATGAAATGAGTGTTGATATTGGGCAAATTTTCCTTTAAGTATTCAAGAACCCAATTCAACACTCACTGTCTGAAGCAAAAAGCAAAACACTGCACAAGAACATTCAAGGAAGTGTTCTCTATAGGTGCCACATTCAATTACACATGAATTGTTCGAACAATTTTCAGCCTCCAAAATTGGTCACTGACTGGAAACAAGGAATCCTACTTGAGTTCAATGGAATAGTTTGTGGATCCAAATTTATTTTGTGCATGGCATTTGTACACACCAAAGTTCTTCAAGGCATTTGTGAAGAGCTTCTTTTCAGCAACTATTGAAGCATTGGACACGAGCTTTTTTTTAAATCGCATAGTAACAAATGGTTCTGGATAACCACCAAACTTGCATCGCAACCCATGTTGGATCACTGTTGCCCAAATAAGAATACACTTCTCTGGGTGAGGCCAGCCCAATGACGAAAGGTTTTGCTAAAAATGAAAAATGTCATTTTTTAAACACACTTGNCAAATGGTACACTATGTATATATAGACTTTGTACTTACAAGCGACATGTACAATCAATGTTTCTTTGTTGTTGCTTCCACGACACTCGTATTTATTGCTTCCGTAAGACACTTTAACATCAACAAACTTAAGCTTGTGTTTATTTCCACTACTTTCAACTCGAATATCAGCTGATGGTGAAGTAGTTATTTTGCTTCCACCTGGATCGAACCAACCAAGGAAAGTCTCACCAGTCACATTACACGTAACTGTCACTGTTGCTCCAACTTTGGCAGGTGCGAGAGGTAATGATAGTTTTACACCCGCCCCTAGAACAATTGAGAAAGGACTTATTGTTAGCAGTTTAACAAAACTGTAAAAGGGGAACTATTATAAGCATGTTTCCAAAATGCCAAATTCAAAAAAGATATTAGAATCAGCGAGAAACATAATGGTCTGGTCGTTTAGCTATCTTGAAGATTATTTTAGTCTACTAGTAAAGAGGTCTTATCATGAGCCTCGCCTAAGGTACAAGTTTTTGACACTAATTTGAAAACCTTGGACGGCCTTTTCAAATTCTTCCTTTGTGTTGGAAAACCCTCCAAAAACGTAGAACAATTTGGTCTCTTTTACTTCAACGTTGCCTCTTACTTGAATATGAAACTTGGTAATTTGGACACATTCCTGTATGAGCAAAGTTATTTTAGTTCACAGCCTCTCTGTTTACGCACGCGAAAGAAAAAGCGAGCGCGAAGCAGGCAAGTCTTCCGTTTTGTGCTGGCGTCCAGTCCTCTCGCGATTCTATCCGCGAGTACGATCAAAAAAAAATACGAGAAAATAGAGGGCTGTGAACAGTCTTAAGTTATTTAGTTGTAATTTTAGCACCGTTTTGACCAAAGATGTGCCAAAATCGTCAGGATAGTGCCCCTTCAAGATGTGCAGCAAAGACAAACTGATGGTTAATATACCCAGAACAGTCCATCGCATATTATTTAGCTCTTATTAACCGAGCAGGAGGTCTGTATGGGAGAATCTTGACCGGGGTCGTGAGTACAGACCGAACGTAGTGAGGTTTGTACACACGACCAAGGTCAAGATTTTCGTTGATGGCTTTATCGATAATGATTAAAAAATAATTTCTTCTAAAACATATACCTAATTCAAGACTAGAGTGCAAAACCCATACCCTATTTGAGACCGAAATGACCAAAATCGATACCCTATTTCTGACCAAAATGGTTAAAAGCTATACCCTTTAGGGCCACGCATACATATACACCCATATAAGGAACTACCCTTCCCCCCTTCGGGGGGGTGGGGGGTGGGGGGTCGAATAGGTCGATAAAAGTGAGATTGAAGTTTACGACAAGCAAGCGTGAGACTCACACCTGAGGTATGCTGGCTTGCCGGGGTCGCTTGTAGGTATCCTATATAGAAGAGAGATAATCCACCTAAACCCCAGGACTAAAGGAAATTATCTGCTTTTTTATTGATAATCTACAGCTTCATTGCCGAGTTGTTTAGTGAACGGTTTCATCGGGACTATTTCTGATTTGTCCGTCTTCTCATCTCAGAGAATTGCCTTCCTTAAAGAACGTTTAGTAGAAAACAAACAAATGAAAGTGAGTCGAGCGGCCATGTCCACCTTGTTTACGTCTAAAACTATTTTAATGGGTGCTTATAAACCCTAGACGCATTCCTTTCCTTTTGTTTTGGCCAGTCACTTTGACATCTATCGCCGAAATGCCAAAACGCTTCAAGATTGCCTCAATTCTGGAACTTGGATGCTTGTTCTACTTGTAATATTATTTTGGACATAAATGTTTCTATCAGACGAGTTTTATTTGGGTAAAACTTTGTTTTATGTCTATGTCAAAAAAGTATATAAACTGTTGCCTCTCTAATTAGCAGAGAGAGCAAATATGAAAAACAATTCTCTCACTGAATTAAGAAAACAACATGATTCTATTGAATTCTAGCCCTTCATCGTACAGCCTTTGGTGTTGTGCCCTTAGAAATAAGGCAAACTGGTCCACATGTCTTTTCGTACAGAAATTCCAACCAAGACCAGCATTGAACCCTCATAATATTACTTTATGCAAATTTTCGCAAAGGGCTCTCCCCAACCCGTATAATACGCCTCATTTAAAGGTTGCCGGCCAACGTAGGAATTTGACTTCGTTCCAACTTTTCAATTGTCCAGCACGTTTTATTAGAAGCTACATAAAGAAGAGATGAAATCCTCGAAAAATAAAGAAATTTTAGCAGCTGACAATGATCGAGGGCAGATACCTGTGGCTTCTATTGAGAGTAATAATAATACAGCTTTTGTTTTATCGTAATCTTCAATGATTGGTCAAAGTATTTGACAGAGTATCCGATTTCGAATGCGGAAGTTCCAAAAGTCATTTGCTGAGGGCAAGAATTCCATTGAAACCATAGCAAATCGCACCGTATTCTGGCTCCTCCTAAAGCCGGAAGATAAGAAATTTCACCATCTTACCATTGACATATTCTTAGTATATGCGGAGTTTTCCGAACACAGAACACACTAGAGTGCGTAGGGCCATCTTAAATTTCTAAACGTCGCAGCGGTTGAGACTGTTAACGGGAATAACAACTGAACGAAATCGCCGCCAAACAAGAGAAACCCAGTAATACTGTTATTGAGAACTAACCGTAAACAGGCTAACTCTAGCGTTATGTGGACTAGCCAGAGTACTTTTTAGAGCGAAAATCTCAATTAAGGCTAAAATCCCGAGAGGGGACGAGGAGGGGAAACTCCCATATGAAAAGGTCGGGGATGCTTTTCGTCTCGCTTATTTATATAAATCAAAGATTCTGGTTTCACTTAGGGTGTTGATGACGAGACGTCACTATTTTAAGCTGTCAAAATATCTTTTTGTGTGCTCTCGTTCTTTTCTCTGATTTTAGGCTCAATTCTGAAGTCTGGTCTACTGGAGCGCGCTCTCTTCCTGAACAACGGCTGATATTCGAGTCCATTCCGTTTTAAATGGTATCTTTAGGGGTTAAATAAAGCTCTAGCCACTCCTAGATTAGTCTCCTTAGCTTTAGGGGTTTAATTCAAATTTTCCGACGACCGTTCCCGACCTTTTCATATGAGAATCCCCCGTGGCTAAATGCATCGCAACGGCACCATTCATCCGCGTAGGCCTGTCATTGTCTTTTGTTTTCAGCAGTGAACAACCACTATTCAACAAATCACCAGCAGCTAGCTAAAACTTTTTTTTATTAAAACCTTGGAGATTTACCTTGTTCAAGATTCTTCGAAGGTATCATGAACTTTATAAACTTCTAATAGACCTAAATTCCTAGTCTCGGCTTTTTATTTTTATTTTGCTTTTGTTGTACATCTTAACCAAACAAGCCAGTTGGATTACCCTAAGCATTGCTGTTTAGGAGCCTACTTCCAGCATGCACTAGATTTTTCCCATCCCGGAAAATCTAATAGTCTCTTGCACGCTTATATCTTCTTGTTTTTTT